TTAAATAAGGTATAGTTTGGTTGGAAATTTCTTTATATATAATTTAATATTTTGCTAAATTAAAAAATATTGAGATAAGAATTAGAAGTCTATCGATGAAAAAATTCATTGTGAATAAAAAAAAGTATATTGCATTCTATAAACTTCAAATATGATGAAGAATTTGTTTCATAGCAGTTGGAATTAGAACTTTAAAGTGTGCACGTCATCTGAAAGTAACTGATCAAAAATTTTCCGACAGAATCCAAATAAATAACTAGGTTTATAAATCGGAATTACGGACCGGCAAAGATCTTTCTTTTTTCTTTAAATGAATTGCAATATAAACAAATACAACAAGATCATCATCATATTTGAAGTTTATAACTTTTTTGTTCACAATGAATCCTTTTCGTGGGTAAGACTTCCAATTCTTTATTTTTCAGTTTTGTTTTTGCAAAATATTAGATTTTCTATATATAAATTTTCAAACCAAACCATACCATATTTAATACTATCGAATGGATAAAGATATATTAAAAATAAAAAAACGGGTTAAATATACTGTATACTGTGATAAATCAATATTGCATGTAAGTTTCTAAAACTTGTTTCAATTTCTCCCAAGATGTTTCATTTATTAGTCTCCGTATTTAAGTTTCCAAAAATGCTAAAATTATGAAATTATAAATATCAAGGTAATTGAAACATGGCTGTCTGCTTTCCTCTATAATTCCTACCCAACGAACAAAACCTTTATAATAATAATTAATCTTTTGTCGTTAACTCGTCATTTTCATCGTTCTCTTAATAATTTCCATTATCAAGGCATTTTCATAATGAGCGAAATAAGCGAGTTGAAGATCATTCCATATACCTCTAAAGATTATTACGCTTCCAAAAACCAACAAAAAAAAAGAGAACCAAGTATGTTTATGTCCTTCCGCAAGGAAAAGATGAAGAGCAAGCCTACAGATATTTCATTTGCCGATTATTTTGACGAAGTGACCAATTTATGGAAAAGTATGTCGGAGGTCGAAAGATCTGAATGGCAAAAGAACAACAATAATAATCAGGACAAAAAGTTCCGCAAAGATCATAAAATTGAAAATCGTTTTTGTCGTGGAAAATCCACTAAAACAAAAACAAAAACAAGAACCAACAAAATCACCATCAAAGATAACAGCAAGTAATCTTATAGTTTATTTCTCAATGATTTTTTTTTTCTTTTAAATGATTGAATTTTTTCCTAAAAAAAAAAAAAATTTAATATTTGCAATAACATCCGTTCATTACCTTTTTAATCAATTCTTTTTCATATTATTATATTTATTATAGAATTCTTTTTTTTTCTTTGATAATTAACAAACGAAAGAAAGAAATTCAACCCTCTGAATTTTTACAAGTCGAATGAACGAAAGACTTTATTTTCGTTACATTTATTGGTGTTTTATATTGGCGTTATAATTATTCTTCATACTATTCTTTTAAATTTATTATGACACGTAAAATATGTATTTTTAATATAACTTAGGATATGTAAAATTTTGGAACATGGAATGTGACATAAATAAATTTACATTTTTATAAAATAATAAACTTTCAATGAAATTTTTAAATTTAAATTCATGATAGTTAAAAAAAAAAAAAAAAAAATTCCAAACGTACGTATTGAGATCCAAAATCATTTTTATGTAAAGTATTACAATTGCGCCTATTTTGTACAATTCCAGTTGAATATGTGAGTTATTTGCTATTAAAATTAATTATGTCTCAATTTGATTCAATATATTTGAAATGCAACGAATTTAACGCTTTTTTTTAAAAAAATTATAAATCAATTTATTGTTCAATTTAAAAACTTTGTGTTACTTGAATTTTTTGGTGCGACCATACATTTTACAAAAAATTCATCTGGTAAAAAAAAAAAAAGTATTTACCCAAATTGAAGGGGGGTTCGTTCTATAATTATAATCAGACAAATATTTTTTTTTTAACTAAAACTAATAGTGTTTAGTAATCACTTTCAATACATCCAACCAAGTGAAACTTTTGATAGACCACCATCAACCGTTCATTTGAATTTTTTAGTGGTCAATTAATCATTAGACATGGAACTTTTGGTTCTACTAATAGAACTACGGGGGATAGTTATAGTTTATATTATTTATATTTTTTACTTTTTTTTATATATTTTTATAATTTAATAAACCTATAACAGTGCACAAATAGTTAACATTCATGAGAAATACGTATTTCCGGACCAATTTATTTCTGTTCCTGAATTAGATGTTGGAATTGCATCATCAAGCGGAAGTGGTGTTAATGATTATTTAAACGTAAAGTTTCATAATTTGGAAACAGGAGCGCATTTCAAAAGAGCAACAATTCAAACAATCATGGTTTATTTTTGGACGGATCTAGTGTACAAGCTATTAGTTGATTGTACCTGCATATAAAAATAAAGCATGTGTGCAAAATAACGAGTTATTAATTTTGATATCCATTAGTAAATTACAAACGATATCATAAAAACTTGTATTTAAACAATTTTTATCGAATAAAATCGAAAGGACTTTTAGTAGTGTCTAGACTATTTTCTTCGAGAAACACATTTTAAATCATTTTTTTAATTAATAGCACCAGTGACGGCAGCAGATCGCGTGTATCTATGGTTTCTTTTATAGAAATAAAATACTAATCAAGACAAAGCTAATGAGCTAAACATTATTAAATGCTAAGAAATAAAAACATAATCCAATAATGAGCCATGGCCTCGTCACCTTAGCGATAAAATTCGAAGGACTGATTAACCGAAACTGTCAATTTTATGGAAAACTGTACATTAACAATTATAATATTAAAATCCCAATCTTAAGTAAAGATGCATTTGCAATTAATAAACCAATGTCCGAATAAAGAATATTTTCTTAGCGATAATTCGAATCCTCTCTTTCACACACAATTTCTAATTAATCGCAAAGCTCATTTGTGATTCAAAGTCGTAAGCAGCACAATTCCAGTCAATAAATTGAGCTACATGACGCAACGACTAAAGGTAATTCTTCCCTCAAATAATCAATAACAATAATAAATTTCTTCCCACCATATTTTGTGAAAGTATACATCTCACATATGTATGCTTAAAAAATATTGCACGTATTTTTATTCTTTGCGTTTGCACCCATAATTTCGACATGGATCACCATGCTTGTTTACTCCTCAAAACTTTGTTCATCTGCCGGCAGGCCCCTAATTTCCATTTCGTAATGTTTGTAAAGTTTCAAATTATTACACCAGTAACGTCATCCAAAGTTTTTATATTTATATGACTAGTGAATTTGTGAGCAAAAAAACGATAGCAATTTAATAAAAACTCTTAATGAAGCAGCAAATTTTCACATTGAAACAAAATAGCGTGAAAATAATCTATCATTGATGTATTTGTTCAATACAGGTCATTTCGCATAATTTTGGTCGGTAAAATGATAGAACTTTAATCATTAAGATATAAATAAATGTTCATAAACGATGTGAAGCCGTCCCTTTAATTCTAATTATATTCAAAATAATCTCCGGATTACCGTAAGATCATAATTTGTTTTTAATAAATACTATTCTCATAAGACAGTAAAATAAAAATTTGTTTTAGACGCTACATTTAGACCTTATCCTAAACTTAAATATAATAATAAATAAATCTTATAAAAAACCCAATGTGATCGAGTAAATATTAGATTTCTTTGTCTAAAAGAATAAACCATTCACTTATTACAATATTGAAATAATTTAAAATGATTAATTGAATAAATAATTACCTTGTTTCGGATCAAAGAATGTATATTTCAGATTTTCTTTCAATATTTTATTTCCACAAATACAAGAAGAACCTTGATTACAACCAACGCAATTAATCAATTTATAATTAATTCGACTAGCATTTTGATTTAGAAAAGTTGGACCACAATTATTTACTCCTGTGAAATACAGACTAGCATATTTTGGTTTCAACTTATTTGAAGATTTAAAAATATCTATTACAGCGCTCAATAAATTTCTAGATTCGAAAGGGAATATGCCATAAGATTCATAATCAGGATAATTTGAAATGATGAGTGTATGAAAAGTAAACTTAGGTAGCTTAACATTTTGACTCTTCTTTAAACAATGAGCAAATGCGTACAATCCGATTCTATTTTTTTTTTGAGCGTTGAAAAAATGAGTTCCAATGACAAGAGAGTAATATAAAGAATTAAATTCGTTATCGTTTATTACAGAAATTCCAAGACAGGGAACTTCAGTATTTGAAGTACCATTTTCATAGTTTAAATAATCTTTGTACTCAAAGGTTTCTGTACTACATTCATTTTTAAAGACGTTAAATTGAACACTAAAATCCTTAAGGACAAAATCTAAGTCTGTATAATGATCAATGACCATCCATCTAATTTTCAAATTACGTTTTGTTGGTTTTTTATGAATGCAGTGAATTATAATTCTTGGATTTCCTTTTGACGGGCAAATTACTTGAAAGTTAAAATTTTTTTTATTGTCAACGACCGCTGCAAAAAAAGTTGTAATCATCACTTTTTTGAAAAATGTTTAAAATTTGTGTTGGCATATTTTTCTTAACGTTAATTTCAAATACATTTAACTCATTTGATACTTGATAACAATAATCCTCAATATTTGAATATAGAATTCTTTTTCCTAAAGATGTAATTATTCCTTGACGTAATTCTTCAGATAAAGGTTGAAAAATGCTAATTGGATTCTTAAATTCAATGCAATCCCAATATCTAAAATCGTCTAAAGATTTAGCCCAAGCTGTTTCATCAAAATCACCATTGGGTTGTTGTCCTCCAATTAAATACGTATATTTATCTTCGGTGTATTTGTATTTTCTTTTTGAATTCTTGGCATCAAATCCTATCTTTGTTTTAAGAATTTCAGAAAAGTTTGCCATAAAAGCAATCTCTTTATCTTTCTCTTCAGAATGTTCCTTTGCAATTTGTTTCCCTTCAAAATATACTCTTCCGCCTAATATAACTTCAGTTGGAATGAATTCCCCGTAATCTTTAATAATACTCTCAAAATGCTCTCTAGGAACTTCGGAGTTTATTGCACTTTTCACCTTTTCCTCAAATTCTTCAGTTGGTTCCAAAGAACTTTTATCAAATTGCAAAGATACTTTACAATAATTTTTGAAGCTATATGATACATTAGTTTCATAATTCGAATCTTTATTTTGTGATTGTTCGTAAGATATTCCCAATTTTACAAGATCCACGCTAATGTCGAAAAATAGATTCGTCTTCGCCATCCAATCTTCTTGCGATTTAAATTCATGATC